AACACCATTAAATAATTCAGTTGCATAAAAAGCCAACAAGAACAATACAAATTTTTAATGAAATAAGAAAATAAACATGTGCACCTAATTTACATCTCATTTATGCTAATTTTAATACAAGTAGACAACATATTTAGTACTTGCACTTATGGCGCATGACAGGAAATATAGCAATATGGCCATTAGAAAATAAAGTGTTTTAAATTACAGACTCCATATGGTGTCAAACCTACAGTTAACAGTTTTCGTTTTGCATCACAAGGCAATAATATAAGGTTTTCAAAAACAGCTTCTATTATTAATTTTAGTAAAATGAATTGCATAGCATGGATGTTTTGTTTTATTCAAGTTCAAGTCACAAATAATGCCCAATCAACCCACTACACACAAACCATACAGAATTAAAACAGATTTGGCAGGTGACAAGCCTTGGCTAATTTTTTAAAAAAAGGTAGAAAGTGATCCTAGAACTACATCTATAATGTAACTGATTCAACGCTGTGTTTACACAAATGAGCAAAGGTCTGAATGGAAACTTCCTCACAGTAACGTATGTAAAGTACCAGCATATTTTTATTATAAATAAAGGTGAACATATGAAAAATAGTGACAATTTTTTATAATTCTCTTGATTTTACTGTGTCATGCACACATGCATGTATGCATGCGTGGGAGTAGAGCTCCACATGGCATGATCAGAGTCTTATATGGTTGTACATTAAAATACAAATCAAAGAAAGCTTAGAAAGAACTCCCATGTGCTGAGAGTATTGGAGACACATTAAATATAATTCGAAATTACTTAGCTGAAAACTAATTATGCAAATCAGAAAATTAATATGACCAGATTTGAGTGTAAAACTAATGAGGTCTGCGCAATGTAACAGAAAATCTATGTCTCCAAGTTTAATTGAAATGTGATTAGAACCAAAAAATTATGAATTATTATGCTTATTAGGAAATTAATATGAACAGATTTTTACCCCAAACTAATTAGGTTTGTACATTGTCCTAGAGCATCTGTGTACTAAGTTTC